CGTGTTCATACAATTCCTATTAAACCATAAAAGACTATGAAACTGTGTAGTGAAATATTTAAAAAGTATTCAATTCCATGTTATGTGTAATTATATATAATGAATGAATTGTATGTCTTTATCTTATACTAATCAATTCCGCGCGGTTTTACGCGTTGCTCGCTTGAGCTTGACCTACTGGTCATATTTTAGCCTATGTGTTGCGGGTGTCCATGGGCGCCGCTGATCGCTTGCCATCAGGTGATCCGCCTGCTCGTTTGCATCCTATTCCATAAAAAAATATCCTTCCAGTCAGGAAATCCAGAGATTAGCGTGTTCAACCGAACAAATTCTTCAGTTTTATATAATAGTATAAGATATACATAGAATAGAGCATCTTACCATTTTTTTAAACAGCATTTAGTTTTAACTAAACCTCAAGGTATATTTACAGACTCAATATTATTTAGTATAGATCACACAAATCATGAAACATTCGAATCGCTTACCACCCACCAGGTGAAATAGTGGTCAAACGCCGGCCGGCAATATAAAAAAAAATCGATAATTAAAAACAAAAAACATCGGAAACAATCAACAAAACAAAATTCCTTTTGATTCAAATTCTCCGAAACTCTCTGCTCATACCTAGTCTATTGGCATCATATCCACGCGAGCCCAACGTTTTCTATTTTCGAATGACCCAATCAGAACACAAATAAAACGCTGTGAGACGGAACCTTTACCCGAACGACCAGACTCAATGTTTTTTCTAATTTCATCACCCAAATGAACGTTTCGTGTTTCGTAAATGGAAAAATAATTACGTTTTTGTACTTTCCCCCCGGTACTGAGTTTTATTGGAGCTATAGAATTACATTTTACGAAAACGTGTCGGTTTTAAAGTGTTACTCGTACCTACAAAATTGTTCTTGTATTTTTATGATGGTCAGGTTGGAATAACGGCCCATGATAACACCGCGGGGCTGGTAACAAAGCTTTCAATTTTAATTTAATATTTTTGCAAAATGCTCCGGTCCTTTAGGTGTCAGAAACAGCGGTTCGCGTATAAAAGCACTGGATTTTTATGTGAGAAATCATGATCGGAAAGTAATTTCATTTTTGTTCGATGAATACCTAGTTGAATTTTTTCTATGAAAATATTGGGATTACATTATTCAACTCTCTGCCTGCCCGGACAGCCTCGTTAGCCGATTCTAAATAGTAGCACGGAGTCTGGAATTGTGCCCGGTATTTGGCAATAGGCTCATAACATAAATAATGAAAAGTGAGTGTTACATTGTCCAGTGGCATTAAGTGTCGCAACGTGCAACTTCGCTTACCCCTTCAGGGATAAAAGGCGTGATGGCATGGATTGATTGATTATTCAACTATTACATTGATATCTTTTTTACTGCAACAATATGAAATGTTTATGAACTCAGCTAATGACAAAGAAAAGTCAATGTCATTAGATTCCACATACGTACGTTATTTTAGAAAAACACAGGGGAAACACAGGTGTCCTGTGATGGTAAAATTGCTCTAAAATCTACATACTAACAAAG